TAGGTAGTACTACGTTATTCTCCTGGGATAGGGCTTTACTGGGCGCGGCGTCGATCTGGGGGGGACCTGAAATAACATGGTCCGGGTCCTCCTCGGAGTAGGGCGCCTGAGTCCGGCCGTCGGGGTGGTTTTTCCACCCCGTCAACAAAAAAAAAGGTACTACGTTATTCTACACAAAAGCATGATTTTAATTTCCGTATTCAAAATCAGATATAAAGGTTACTTATACATTAATCAGTGCGGTACTTTGTAACTTGCACTAATCAATGTATACTCAGCATTTCTGATATTCAAAAGTAGGCAGTACTTCCTACACGATACACTTTGCTAACATTTGGTAAAGTTTTGTTTTATTCATATAACTCTTTACGCTTTCTGCGCAGATATAATTTTTATATAAGTTTCAATATAGACACAACCAAAAAACAACTATTCCTAAAATTTTAAGCATCGTAGACGATTATATTAAGTCACGTTTTTTGATGAACCCTTTTTTTCAAATAATTTTCTCTGCTCTCAATATAAATAACTATTAAAAAAATAAAAGCCGATAGATATTCCACATTCTTCTTGTGGACATTAACAAATAAATCTGTGAAAAAAAGTTCGGTGAACAGGTAGCTGTCGGACACGTCAATAAAATAATATTTATAAATACTTAATTCATTATTTACTTATGAACAGGAGACATATTTTTAAAACCTATTATTGCCCACATAATGAATAACATAACTTTATAGGAATTGAAAAATATATAACAGGTAGGTATCATATTATACATTCAACTGAAAGAATATTATATTTATATAATTAACAAAATCGTGATATTATTAACAAAATGAAGTAATAGTGCATGTCCTCTTTAATATACTGTGGTAGTAAAAATAACTTTTAAAAATACATGTTATAGTTAGGTACCTACCTATTAACTCATATTATTTTAAAAAATAGGTTCTAAACATATAGAAAATATTACGTGTCCTAAATTCACAAATACATTTTTAGCATTATGTTTAAATATGAATATTTAAGTAAACATGCAACTCAACTACATGGTTTGACTTTGATACTATAATTCTGGTATTGTTTAATATTACGTTTAAAACGGGTTTCTAAGTACCATCCGATAGCGCGAGAAATGTAAGTGTTTCTCGTCTATTACCTGATCATATTGCAGATCTTACTAATGTGTATTTTACATATTTACATAAATGATTAGATATCGTGTTCCATTAACCATTGTACAGAATTAAACCAAAGTGTCTCATACATATAAATTACATATTTTGAGTAGGTACCTAGATAGGTAGGGGCTTAAAAAAATATCTGTCACTGATAAATAATTTATGTGATAGAGTTCTGGAAATCCTTATTACGAAAAATAATGAAGTTTTTATATGCGTTAAATTGGCTAATGACAAAATTTAAAAGTGTACTTGCATAATAACATAATTATATTAAATGTACCATACCGTAGTTTTTTTTATATATTCCTCTTTGTTCCTATAGGTATTAAAAACTTCATCTCTCTAAACTTATGACGATACTATCCCTAATAAAAAGCTGTAAGGAATTACCAAGGATGGCAAAATAGTGGCATAGAGTTCTAATTGAATTTATAGTTTATTAAAATATTCAAAGAAAAAGAATATACATATATTTATTAAAAAAACTGTTTCAATTATGCTTTTTGTACTGATATGTAGGTTCTTGTTTAGTAGATATTATGACTTTGGTGTTGAGTGCATACAAAATTGAGCAAAAATGTTTCTAAATAAATTAGTACGTTACGCAAAATATTTACAAATCCCTTATTTAAAAAAAATAAAATGTCACATTATTAAATAATAAAATTTCATCTATACGTTATAAAGTAAGCAAAATATTCTATGATTATTATGTTTCTAAACGTAGTCCTAGTAGCTTCGAAAAAAAACTTGAGATCGGCGTGGTCGTATATATTTTATGCATGTCTGTGAAACTAGTTATGCCTTGGACGTGGCATTTTGTGGACTTTTTACAATGAAAGAGCAGTGTCTAGATCGCTCTTTCATTCAGTGTAGTGTAGTTTCTAATCACTACACATTACAATCTGTATTATAAGCTGATTCTCATATTGTTTTAAATTAGGGAGGTTTTGTTTTACACAAAATCCTCAGGTTCCATGATAATAGATGTTAATGATTACTGCAGACAGTCAAAGAACAAAAGATCTATTTACATAAATTCACTTTCGTGAAATAACAAATTTTAACTAAATATACGTAATACATTCTATTGTACCTAATATTATTAAATACTATTATTATGACTTCAACTTAAAGTACAATTAAATTCTACAATACAAATCTAAGCTGCAGTTTTACTCTAGATTCTTACAATATGGCAGTTGTCAAATCGCTAGCTGAGTTGTTACTTATGACTATAGTGATCTTTTGGTTTGGAGCGCTCGGAATTAATTGTTACGTACACTGTTGTACCATTTTTGTCTGTATGACAACTTAATGATGATTTATCACAACCAATATTGCAATGAATATATATATTTGGTAAGCTTTGCAGGTACATCACGTTACATAATTTTATGGTAGCACGACAGATGTATATTTGTTTCCATATTAAGCACCTGAACAATCGTAGCAAATTTATAACTTGGCAAGATGTGATTAATAAATTGTTTATATTTGTGTGCTTCTTATTTTTAAATATGAATGTAAAACTAATTGTGATAAGTACCTACATCGATATTGACAACACGATGTACATACGTACTACGCTAGTTAATCAGATCTAGTATAACTTTATGAGATTAAAATAAATTTATTTTCTTGTCTTACGTATAGCATTTATAGATTTGTTAACAATATTCTTTCAAACATTCTCACATTTGTGTAAAAATCTGTTGAGGCACGGAACCTGGCACAGGATTACTTGAAATGTGCGTTACTTATATAAGCACCGTCCGGTATCATCTGATATACTAATTAGTTCATGACGCACGGTAAACTCAGTAGGTACGTACATTAAAGACAGAACGTGTAGAATCTAAAAGTTTATCTGTGATTATAGGATTTATGATTGGCACATTTTAAGTACAACTTAGGTACCTTAGGTCCTGCAACCTAGAGTATTGATTGTTAATTCCTTTTTTAGATAAATTTAATTTGTGATTGGATAATACAATGGCAATGCTTTTGGCATCTACGGGCCTTGGTTACTATTTCATCGAAAATATTGATCCGTGATGTTTGCAAACGAAACTAATTGTGTTTGTTGTAATTAATTCCAATAAATAATATGTATCTATTTTTTTTAAATTACGTACTCGTACAAAAGTTTTCGATTTTAACGATCACATTTAAGTAACAATATTATACCTAGATTAATTAGAAGTTTACATTACATATCCAAACATTGCTTTTAATCTTTATAGATACATAATAATATCTTTTATATAATTCTCTATATTTATTATAATATTATTATTATTTACAAACGTTAATCAATAATACTTAATTATAATATTGCAGCTCGCAATCGCTCTCTGCCTCAATTCTTTTCCTGTCATTCAACTCCGTCTCTGTACTTAGCTTAGTTCAATCGTGAATCTATTTAATCTTGATCAAAGAAGAAACTCGTTCAATATATAGTTTGTAACAGCTAATTCTTGTTGTAATCTTGCCCACGTTGTAGTCATTTGGGCTTTATTATTGTATAAAAAGCCGGGTGTTCGTAATTCGATTTGCCGTTTGTGCACTTTTGTAATAGATTCTATGCGTACAGTGTGATGTTACCTGCAGTAGCTCCGTCCTCTTTCATAGCCTGGTGCGTGCTCATCCTCGCGATGTTGGGCCGGCATCCGGCATGGATTGCACCGAAACAGGTTGTTAACATACTCGCAGCACACTCAGCACGAGCAACTCTTGAGTATTGTCTCCTTGTTCTAGTAGGACCGTCTTTGTATACAACACAGATATGTTCATAAAAATTTAAGTCTAAATATGTTTCATAGTCTTTTTGTCGAATCTGAGATAACTTACAACGCTAAATTCATATATTAAAATTCATATTTATAACCTAATAAGTCAGTCAATATACATTTATTTCGTGATTAATAGGTATCACTAAAGTATTTTCGACCGTAATAACTGCGTATACAGTCGAACAATTGATAGAGCAGAGTTTGACATGCTCAACATTACATGTATGAAAAACAGTGTGAAAATTCATCTCCTGAGTGTTGTCGACAAACAATCGGTATCAGCACATCCGAAAATGTGGACGGAATTCATTGCCCATTGAGAGATATTCTCAAAATATCATTTCTAATGATTTTTGGTTTTCTGTAGCTTAGTATGTTGAATCAAGTACGTTGACTATACCAAGTAGTAACTAGAATGATAAGATTTGCTAAAATTAAAGTATGTAACAAATAAAACGTCTAATAATTGGCAATTACTTGCATTAAACTTAAGGTTTCCATAAAGTTATCGCTTCGCTTAGATTGTGCACGTACGGTCATGTACATCACGGTCTCAAGACATTTTTTCACACTGTTTATGTCAGTCTAAACTTACAGCTACTTAAACTTAATATTCACAGTCACCGCCCGAGAGCGACACACAATTTACATTCCAGTGCACGTCACAGTTAAGGCGAATCTACTGCGCTACAAAAATACGTGGGCAATGTCCATTATGCAGTCAAAATACTAGCCACATATAAAGAGCAAAAATATGTCTCCTTTAATTTTTATAGTATTCAATATCATATGTAAATTTTAACCGTCTCTGCTTACATTAAATAAATTTCATTCATTATATATTTTCTTATAGCTAAATCACACCTCCCCACACGGAATAGTTCTCGCAATTGCGAATAATCTTTGCAATGTCTCTAGTCAGTTTGAATAACTGATTTACGATGATAATACAGATAGCCCTGTTCTGAAATTATCTGAATTGCACTGGCCGCGTAACAGCGTGCAAGCGGCGTACTCGCTAGTCGCCGAAACGGGTGCATGCCTTTTTCCATTTGCACTGAGTACACCAGAGATCGCGTTGATCCATGCCGTATACTTTACGACATTTCTTGTTGTCTGAACGAGGACGACGGCCAGGACTGCCAGGCGACCCGCTAGCGGCTGATAACCGCATATGTTTCTGTAGAATAAAGTCACATTAAATCAACAATTTATTATGGTAGTGTCAGTCAATCAGATTCATAATAAACCTTATACTTACAGGTGAATGGGTGTTAGACCAGGGATGAGTTACAGGAATGCTTATTGGCCTTGCAGTTCCATTCTGAATTGACAGAAGACCTTGCCTATAAATATTAAAAATAACTAGTTAGTAATATTACTAAGAACTGAGGATCATATTTACTACATTGTTAGAAGAAATTTAATACCTGTAAGAGCCAACTAGTTGGCGTTGATATTCCGGGTCCTCATGCGGAGGGCGGCACATGTCCCGATGCGAGAGTGTCGGGGGCGGTGCTGGCGCTGCTACTTCCCGCTCTGTATAATAGAACTCCTCTTCGTGGTCACTATCACCCTCTTTCTTTGGTCTGAAACGTGGTTATTCGCAATGATATTTATGCTTATTTTATATTCTGTTCATAATTCATACTTATTTTATAATACACTATAGTACCCTGCCGCGCTTCGCTGTGGCACATTGTGGTTGCATTGATGAGTAACAAAAATGAAGAGAAAAATACATAAAAACTATCTTTGCAGCGAGTTACATATGAGCTTAATCGGTGCAGATCTATTTGAGTTTTTGAAGCGTACACAAACCAACTTAAGATTTTTATATGTATATAGACTAGCTGTACAGACTGCCTAAGGGGCGTCCATTAATTACTCGAGGCGTACAGGAGGGGGGAGGGGTCGAGCCGAATCTCATAAAATCTTAGTTTGAGGTCTCGGATAAAAAATTACGTGGTATTTCCACGTAATTTTTTATCCAAGAAACAGAGTAAAATTGCGAGAAAACTGTGTTAAATTAAGTAACACATATTCATCTACGGAAATATGGCCAACTCTTATACAATAATATTTATCACACTCGTAGTATTGCGAGTGCCTCGAAGTTACACAGTAGCTCGTCGTTAGTTTACGCACCACCGCCAGCCTTTACACTAACAACACATTGTTTAAAATCTCACTTGAGATTGAGGGATCTTGGAGGGGGTTGAATCAAATCTCACCAGGGATGGAGGTAGGGGGGTTAGAAAATCGCCGAAAACCCCTCACGTAATTAATGCTAGCTGAATGAAAAATGTGGTACAAATCTGACGCGAAAAATAGATAAAACAGTCTCTGAAGCGGGTTATAATTAATAATGATTTTATAATATATAGATTAAACAAAAGTTACTCTCTCATCAGTCTGCCACACTATATTACAGATCTCTTCCAGTCCTGTTTATTTATGTAATTTGGGTTTATATTGCGTCATGGTAGCGAGACTTTCTCGAACTTAAAAAGTCAAGTCACTTTAGATAATAGATCACATTGTTTACTATTTTCGTCTTGCAATAGTCTGCATATGTATGAGATATATATAAACCTGCTAGTAGGAATGTGTACAAAACACAAAAATAATTGTGATCATACTGTGGCAGTACGATACCATGTATAGATATATTCAGAGAACAGTAGGGCAGGGTTACGTAAGTGGCAGTCGACCTTGCGGAGCGGGCGCGGGCGGGATTGTGTCGCTAGCAACCTTGTTGCAAAGCCTCGCTGCTTCCGGGTCACCAAGGGCCGGCCTTTCAACGTTCTTCAAGGATCTACTTAAGTTAACTACTCTGCCAAGGTACGAAGGTCGCTATCACTCATTTCTATTGATCTTATTTCTACGTGTGTTAATCATTGTCAACTTTGTATTGTCTCGAATTGATTGACATAACTTTCTTTACAAATGCGTTATGTATTTTCCGGTGGCACACACAGCTCGTAACCTTGCCAGTTGGTTCGTTGGCGTTGCGCAATTATTATTGTCCTTATCACGTGCATTAACTGCAGACACGTGACCTTTATTACACGTGCCTATTGCATTATATTATTTATGCGTTTATCTGGTAGTTACATTCTGTTTTCTGATTAACATATTGCATAATGAAATGGTATAATGTTAAAAAACACAGAGTCAAACGGGTATGACCGTCTAATTATAAATCCCTTAGACTTGTAGAAACACCCAGTATATGATAAAAAGGAGATCTTAGAATAGCTTCTAATAAATATGTATTATATTAATAAAAAATAAAAAGATACATACCCCAAATGTGTATTTCTAATGTGAGCTTCAATGGCTGAGCATGTGTTTGTGTTGTATCCACATCCCCTCCAAGTGCAAACGAAGACAACACTATTGATCTGTAACAATGAGATAAATAATTGTATTAAATTAATCAACGTGTTTGTATCCAGTCATAAGCCATTTACCGTGCGTACTTGATATTTAGAGTAAAGATTAATTGCAATTAAAAGTTAAACTTGTCATTGTACGTAATAATAGTTATTAAAGCTGCATTGAGGAGTAATATCGAGTGGTGATGTAGCCGAGACGGAAGCAGCTCTAGGTCGCGGCCTTGCCAACGCCGCGCAAGCGGAGCCAGAGCCCCCTCTTGCACCGCGAGTACGCTAACGCTAGATCAATTCTGTATAAGTATCGCCACACTTCTTGTCATAATATTATAATGATTCCATGTATCAGGAAAGTACAGAGGTATTAAAACTGTCAAGGTTTTCTTGTCTTTTTTTGCCGCTTTGGTAACGGCTGTCCACTTCATATTTATTTCTCACGAAATAAAACATTTCGCTAAGAGCTAAACATTTTAATTTTCGTTTTATCTTACACTGTAGTATCAATTTAAAAGGTGAGGCAGCATTTTATAAATAAAAACGCTGTTAGGGTGTTCATTTTTGTTAATATACTGGCAGAACCCAGAGACAAATACGCTCCTTTGAAACTCCGAAAATGTTAAAATATTGATTTGGTTACATCATCGCTTTTGTAGGACGCCGTCAATTGTCTTTTACTGAAAAACTTGAATAGTTTCACATTAAATTAGTCGTAGGTTAGAGGATTTACTAAATGAATAGAAGAAGAGGCAGCCCTAAATGTTAGAGAAGCGTAACGACGAGAACGCACGGGGCCGCGATTGGCGTGTCTTGCCAAAGTTTCTGCATCGACCTTCTGTCCAATGCCACATATTTCGGCCAACCGGGCTTCGCTACATACACGCTTATATGAATTAACGTACTGTGCTTTACCGTATCGTTACTAAGCAGAACTCCACTAAATATAGTTTGTAATATTACTACATAGTGTTCTATTTATGAACACATGTGTAACAAATTTTACGATCAATCTTTTAAGACAGTAAGAGTAATATACCTACATATAATATTATAATACATTAAAAATAAAAAATGTACTCAAATACAACTACAGTCAGAGCCTTATTATTATTACATTTAGTATCTCTTCTCAATAAATATAACCTAAATATGACTTCTGTCAATCTGAGTCCTGTTTTTTTACGAATATTTTTACTGCATTCTTGTTATGGATCTCCAATTCCTTCGCCTTTAACGTAAATCAAAGAAAACTCTCATATTTCAAGCGCATAATAATAACTTTTATAGTAAAAATATAAAAACCAGACGCACAAGTTGCACAATTAAGTAACTACAATAACTAACGAAGTGAAATGGTAATGATGTAGTTTATATAATTTAGATACTTAGTACTTGCAAAATAGTTGTTTTGGGAGATGGTTTTATAGATTTCCTGTGCACCAAATCTTCATAGCGATGTTCCATTTGAGTGCAGTGGAAAGTAGGTTAGGTCACACGAGAACGAGGGGGAGGATTACAGTACGGGGGAGGAAAGAGAGGGAGAAGACCGCGAAATGGGTCGCAGCACCACGGCCAAGGGTGGTCTATGAAGGTTGTGTTTCTTTGTCTTTTCGATCAAAAATTTTGGGGACACTTCATTAGACACAAATAGTAGGCAGGTACACATAACTTAATGTTGCTACAATTAAAAACTGGTTGTATAGTAGGAACTGTCCATCACAAATATTCATTTAATTATGTTGTACATATTGTTAATTAACACAATCATATCATGTACCTAGTGTATGTAAGTGGAATGCCTACCTATTTTTTTGATCCACCTACAGAGAAAAGATCACCTTTGAATATCTAATATACTAAAATACTTCTAGAATACTTTACTGAAGAGCAAAACTTGCAAAGACAACAGTTTCTTCAGACAACAACAAATTCTTGATTATAAAATAAGTTCTTTGTTTCATTTTAAATCAGTATTTATAAACATATTATTCACGATGTCTTATTCTTGATGATATAGAGATACATAGATTTTTCGGTGTGGGGGGATCGGGGCCGAACGTGCGCGTGTTTCGCTTCACCCCCTCCTTTCCCATCGCTGCACCACTGACCTACTTTGAGAGTTCCAATAACACCGGATACAATTTTATAGACATGTTTGGTGAAGCCCTATTCCTTTAGTTAAACGCAATACTATGATTACATTTGATTTTCAAATTTTCACATTGAGGGTTTAACTAGAACTAGTTGCATTTTAGGTAATGTAGTGGAATGATAGTTGTTACCGTGTTCAAATGCAACCATCTTTACCTGCTTTGTTCTAACAATAATCTTTTCATTTGGAATGTTTTTACAACGATATGTATAATTATCTTGTTGGGTTATAAATTCGTCGTTAACTAAATGAAATAGTCACGATTTATACATAATCATTGTAAATACACGTACGTATATAAAAGAAGTAAGGATAGTTAAAAGATAGGTATTTATGCAACATTATTTCAAATAGTAGGGTAATATCTAGGCACGTAAGTATGCATAATATAACACTCTTGTTCAACGCAGTTCTAGAATAACTCTGCTGTGTTTCTGTGTGTCGTCGGAACGCTTACACGTGCCGTTTTCTCTTTGTGTGTGTGCAGTGCAGTAGTTGCTGCCAGTGTGCACCCACAGTGCACTTCGCACTTGCCTACATAAGTAACGGCCATTAATAGATTAATCTGTTCCAAGAAGGTTATCTATAGTTTGTATTAAATAATGGTGCTTTTAAATTGTTACTCAAGAGCCACCAGATTCAATTTTGAGTATATTATAAGATGCAACATTAGGTACTTAGAAAATACTTTATTTTACTTTAACCATTAAGGGATATTCAGATGGAAATACGTGTACCTACCACAAATTATCTATGATGTAATAGCTTTTACAATTATTTACTCTTAAAGTCATAATATAAGTCATACCATAATCTTAAAGTCGCGTCCTGCGTATGTTTCTTTACAATAGACAGCGCGTTTGAACCAGCTCTAAGATACATATTAAAAAAATATGTTAAAAATTATATATATGGTAATTCTGTTTATAAAATTAACATCATTATTATTAAGTAGTTACGTGTAATTAATTGTTCATAATTCTTCCACTAGTTTGCTTAGAAAATAACTGACGGTGTTCTTGTTCTAAAATCATCAAACAGTTGATTAAATCTACACTTTATTTCCAAAGTGTACAGTTCATTATAGAATACGTATAGTAACATATATAACGAGAGGGCACAAAATGCCGGTTTGTTATTGCGCTGTCTCTTTCTAGCGCGAAATGCCGCGGATGATAATATTGATTTGTTTTCATTGCGTCTCTCTTTTACCTACGAGCGCGGATAGTATGTCTGTTTCATCCGCTTGACCTTCCTTATTTACAGAGACACACACATGTATATTCTCCACAGTAACAGATAAGTTGTTTTCGCGTCATCTCCTTCTAGCTCTAGAAACGAGGTGAACAAGGAAGACGCCATTTAACAAAATGCAATGCGTTACTGGCTGCGTGTTGCCGACCGGTACTATTTATTTGCCGGAGTTTGTGTTTTAAATTATTATGATTATATAATATCACAATAAAATAGGCCAGTGCAAACGATTGCAGGGACATACGAACTTTTTGAAGACTTAAAAATGATTGACTTCCTAATTTACAATATTATTTAATAGACAAGGTATATATCCCTACTCAAGTTACTTAGGTAAATATAGTATACATTTTGCAGGATTTCCTGTATTACACACTTAGTATGTACCTTCTTGATATTAATAAATAAAATAACGACTTTAATGCATTCTTCAGTGATTTGTTTACATGATACGTAAAAAAACAAGGCAAGTGTAATTTAATCTTGTGTATAGTAATCTTATAACCATGTTTATTTGTGTGGGAGGTAGGTACCTACAAGGCGGGAGGACTGTGCAGAATATCGTGAATCCTCACGTGGCTAGGCTAGGTGACCGTGTTTCAAAACAAACTTTGTTCACTAGTTGCGTGTTTACAAATTAAGTCGCAAAACCATAAAAGTGTTTAAAAAGTGAGTTAAAAAATATAACCATTTCCTGAAAGTAACTTCCGTAAATATTTTATTTATTCATACAATATATGTATAAGCTACAGTAAAAAAGAAATATGAAATATAATCTAAATTGTAAAGGAAATATACTTAATAATAGTTTATGTCTACTTATATTATTTATCTTTTCTTTATATAATAAATAATTATTTGAATAGGTATATAAGTATATCTCAAATAAATAAATTGCAATTTGTAACTCAAACAAATAATATGCATTAGGTACTTAGGCAGGAATCTAAAAATACTTTATCGTTCACATACCAGAAAAACGTCAAATAGAAATAGATTTGGTACATGCAAGTTCTATCGCACAAAGAAAATGTCTGAGATGGCACGAGTTGATGCATGAAAGAGAAAGAGGTAGGTAGGTACATGGCGTGTGCACCCCATGAAGCCAAGGGACAACTGTTGTGAAGTATGGCAGGTCACTGAACCGGCAGTTCGGTTTACCCCTGCGGTTTAAATGTTTTGATATTTGACCTACTGTCTTTTGAATATAGTAACATTGGATTTGTATTGATCACTAGCATTAACATTTATTTATATTGTAAAGTAATTCAAAATACGTAAAGGTTATTTTTTAAAGTTATTATGTCCCATTATAAAAAGTCTTCTATGAATTATGATCCATAAAGAATCGTGCAAAAACTACTTAGTTGTCAAAGAACGTGCCACAGGTGGCGTCGGAGATGCGTTGAACTCAGGTCCAAAACATTCCCCCCGGCGGGCACCCCCCGTCTGCGGCGAGGGACGGGTGGTACACCCTCATCACTTCATGTTTTTTTACTCCTGCCTATGCCGACTCACACACATACAGCTTAGAGTGTAGACAGAATATAATGAAAAATACCTGGTGCCGAGAAACTACACGACGTTCATTCGCCTCGTCACACTG